GGTCGCCTACGACTACCGTATCCGGCGTGAGCTCTACACCTGAACGCAATGCCAGAGGAGGGTCTGCGAGGTTAATGCGGGCCATGCAGAAGAAGCGCATCCATCGGGCGGCCCCACTGCACCTGCCTAGACGCCGTTGATGCAGAGGTCGTTCATGACGTGGACAATGCTGATGGCATGTGGCAGGAGTGCGCTGAAGGTGGTGGAGGGGAGCATCACGTCACGGACAACCCTGCAGTGCATGATGAGGACGGTGCATGATACCCAGAACTGCAGCGCGAAAGACGGTGCCCAGGCTGATGGCACTGAAAACGAATGCAACGCTGCGACCACGGAAAATGGCATCTGCAAAATGTCAGCGCTCATTCACGGCGACGAGCTCGAGGCACTTCATGAGTAAGGAGCATCAAGTGAAGGTCGAAGAATTCGTCAGGCAAGGAAAGCTAAAACCAGACAGGAATAATGCTGGAGCCAAAGGTCCAAAGCACGAAGACAAGTGTGTACACTCTGGCGCTTCCACCTCACGCACCAAGCAGCAGGCCAGCCGTAAAGGCGGTGGGACCTACAAGGACAGCATGAGAGGCTGGCAGCTCCTGAGGTCACACATGGAATTGTGGACTGACTGCGCCGGTATGTGGTCTTGCGCGTTGTGTGCGGTCCGTCATGGCCAAGGCTAGCAGCTACTGCATCACGTCTCTCTCTCTCCACTTTTGCCGAAGGGGAGGGCACAGTATGCGAGCGGCGGCCGCGAGCCTGCCAATGACAAAAGGAAGAGAAGGACGACGATCGCGGGTGTGGTCATGGCACACGGTAGCAGCTGGCAGCGGGCAGGTGTGGCCTGGGTTCTGGTCGATAAAGAAGGTTCCTGGTCTGGCTCCGCGTCTTTCCTGGGGTGTCAGGGCCGAGCAGCCTCGAAACCTTCTACAACGTGTACCACAAGCAGATGGCAGATTTGTCACTATTATGTTGCGAATTGCTGTCACCACCATGACACGTCGCGAAGTCACCTTTGCGATATCAAAACCAAAAGTGTCTTTTTAAAGTGACGGTATTAAAAATAAACATGGCGTATTCCCATGCACCGCATTCTTTCAGAGTTCTCAAATCCGCATTCTTATACAGAGCAACAGTCCCAAAATATTTAAAATTTGTGTCAGCCCTACTTTAAGCTGCCTCGAAGGCATTATTGCCACGGAGACAGTTTGAGTACTATGCATTGCATTTTTTATAGCAGTAAACAACAAAATACATAAAACAATGTAAGTAAGGCAAAACCGACAATATATAAACATTCTCTAAGCAGATAGAAAACTCAAACAAAATGGGGGCAACAATTCAAATATTTCTTAATATGGGTTATACAGCCGACCTTTACAAAAAAAAGGTTGTTTTCGGCAACCATAAATGAAAAAGTACATAATACAGCAAATAATGTACAAAAACTTTATAAATTGTACAGCACTATTTGCTGGCAATGTAAACAAACCTACGCCACAAGTTCGAGTTTGCTGGTTGCTGGCACGTGCCTTGCACTTCTTCTAACTGCAATTTCCTCCTTTGTCCCTGCAACTTCGTGTATGCTGGCAGTGCTGTGATGTGAGAACTGCGTACCTGCTCTCATGCGCAGCATGTGCATCACAGTTTTGAGTGGTCACCGTGGCCAGCTGTGCTTACCTCTCTCTGGAAACTGCTTCTGCTGAGGTTGGCACTCTGAAATGAAAACAGAGAGTGGGTGCTTTAAACACGTCTCTAAACAAACGAACATCGTGCACTCACACAAACAGTTTCCAGCAGTGATAAGTCGGTATTAAGATACCTACTTCAAAAAAAAAGCAAGGTGATATATTTTTGTGTTAGCGCTCCTTTGAAGGACCACTCCTCAAGTTTGACAATTTTGAGCTGACGAGCGCAATGCATACATGGGCCGTTCACGATCAGTTCTGCCAAATTGTGCAACACTACGTGCCGGGAAACTGGTTTAAATTTCAAGATGAACGCTGCTTGCCCTTCCTTTCATGCACGTCCACCCTGAGAATAAGGGAATGACGTAGACTACAGAATTGCCCAGTGTAAATGGTATGCTGTGATGTCAGTCCTCTGCATAGACGACTGATCTGATGTCGCCAACAGTAGCACGTGAGACAGCAAAATTATTTCAAAAATGTGTAGTTTGTGTAATTTATTGCCTGAATATATGAATAAAACTTGAGATAAATAATGAGACACACACACAGGGAATGTGTGCGTCTTTTTCATTTTTTCTCGTGAATTGCAACGAGATGCGGGGCTAATGTACCTGCATTTTGAGTGCGTTCGTGTCCCCACTGTTAATGCATCGAGCAGACGCCAGCCCTGAAAACTAAATTTATAGTCCTGCACATTCGAGCACTCAATATGCTCATCTATTCTAGCGTGTCTATACCAGCATCTCTAAATCCATCCTGCAGAAACAGGTACTAGACCACAAAGTAATGGTGGTCAAGAAAACAATGCTGCCCGCATCTTCTCGGCGGAGGGGCTTGCTCGGGGACATCATGCACGTGTGACCGTTTGCTCGGATGCCAGAGAGGATAGAGAAGAGATTTAGCTTGCAAAGGCAACGTGGGGCAAGCAGCATGGGATTTGAGCTCGTCTCCTCGCATCATCTTTTTGCACCGCTTCAAAATGCCACTTTTTTCAGCTCGTAATGAATTGATTGAAACATTTTTTGTGGCATAATGCTCTTCATCAGACACCAACAACTGCCACGGCCCAACTAGGGGACCTGGCGAGTAACCCTTCAAATGTCCAAGTTTTTCAACAGTGCAATGGGTGAGGGAATGTGATAACGGATTCTACCTTGTCATTACGTTGAAAGTCGGGCAAGTTGTTATGGCAGCATATCCTGAAAACAATGTGCAGCAGGACAGGACACATACAAAAAAAGGATAAACAGGAGACAAAAAAGGTGCCCACAAGCTACAAGTTGTGCTTTTTTGTCCCCTTTTTTTGTTTGTCCCATGCTACTTCAGTCTTTTCAGAAGATTATCACCAGCTTGTCAATTTATGCATCAAATTCTGCAAGATTGACAACAAGTAGATAGCCCTTGTGCCAATTCAAATACCAGTTATCAAGTTTTGTGGCATTCGAACATTGGAAGTGCCACGTGTACGAAACATTCACACATCTGTACCAACAGGAATCTCGCCGTGAAAATGATCGAGGAATCTGTCATTGCAGTATGCAATCCTAAAATCCTGATGTAACTTTTAATGACGGTAATAGTACTAATATGCATAAAGGTGCACCTTTGATTGGCTGTGGCACATTCGCTGGTGGGCAGGCGTTGTAGAAACCTTGTGTTCAATTTGCGTCGATACATGGTGTATCTTGGGGACTATATTAGCCTCTGTTGATTTGGACACGGTTTTCTCACACGATGTGTACTGGTTGCGCTGCAAAGAACGGTTATATTGAGCGACTTCTGTTGGTCAAGCCGATGATGCAACCTAGTGGCAGGAAAAGCAGAATGTGATATAAGGCATCCAACAATGTCATTAACTGCAAAAGCCGATTTCACTACATTGAACTGGGAATTAGTATGCCTGAACATTGCACTTTAAATGTAAGTGGGAATGAGCGTCTACACGGCAACCGAGAAAATACTGGATACTAGACAAAAAACGCTAGACACCAAAATAAATCCAAGAGAGATAACTTCGTTGGAGTTCAATGTCCCAAAATAATATGACCACGAGAGATGTCACAGTGAAGGGCTTGACAAATTTCGACCACCTAGGGACATAAGTCATGCATTTAAACCCGAGTACATGGGCCTATGTCATTCTCGCCTTCATAAAAATTTCCACAGAGATTTGATTCTGTGACCTCAGCAGTGGGACACCACAGGGAACATTTCTTGCTTTTATCTGTCTGGTAACAATTATGATAGATTAAAATGACTTATAGTGGGTACAAATCCACAACTTTCGAATTGGAAGGCTGCGCTTTCGGGTCGTCTGCGCTGGCCATGGACGAAAGCTTTCCATCTTAAGGACTTTCTCTCCTCACCTCGGATTTTCCGGCATGAAACCTTGTGCAGCGGTGCGAGCATTTAATTTTGTAAAAGCCGCAGCCACAACGAGGTTCTCAAGGAGGCTATGCGGCAGAAAGAGGGGTCAAAGGATGAAAGTACCACAAAGTACCTTACACTTGTTTATGTACTCGTGTACTTCAAAATGCAAGGCTGCGAAATAACGAAAAAATTGGCGCCTTCATCTTTCTACAGGGGGGGGGGGGGGACTTGAGTAAATCCGTCGCTAAGTGGAGGGGATATGGCATGAATGTTGCGTCTACTCGAGTCAAGGAAAGCGTTAAGTCAATCGACAGACAAGTAAAGACGCCCTTCACTGAATCCCGGAACGCGCTCTGCGGCTTATATACACACCGCCCGCATTCGAGGAAGACGAGACGAGCCGAGCATGCGCAGTGGGGGTGCAGACAACGCAGACGCCAAAGTGCAACATCGTAAGACTAAGAAATCCTCCGCATTTAAAAAGTTCGCTCTAGCCGTCTGAAGCTTAAAAAACGGCAAAGCTGGTCAACGACCCACAGCACTTGCCAGCATTTCATGTGTTTTGCATTGTATCGAACCAAGCTTAGCGTGATAGATTACAGTTAAAGGGACCGACTATGCATTTTTTTCAACACAGTGTTTCCCGGCTTGCCTTTCGTAGTGTTCGTTGTGGCAGCAGTTAATCCCAAAAGCATGTAGTTGTTTATAAGCAGCATTTTTCGATCTGAAAGGCTCTGAATACTGATTTTCCTTTTTGTCCAGTGAGCATTCATAGTGATGGCGGTAGCCCTTCTCGTGACTTGTGCATGCTGTCGTTGTGCTTTCGCAGCAGTTCCCATAACTACACTTAGCCACATTTATTCTTAGCTTTACAACTATTTTTTAAAATAACAAGCCGTTACAATGAGATCATGTGGCTTTATACAACTTCCCTGTATTTGTACTGCATTGCACGTGCCTGTGTCGTGGATGGCTTGTCCCAGTCATCATTACTCTCTCAACACAGGAGCCAAGCCAAGTCACCAAATATGTCACTGCACATAGCGCGGCTGTGCCGAGCAGAGGCACACGTTATTTCTGAGACAAAATGTAGGTATAAGAACCACGTCACCCCAAAATCTTAGTGACCTGTATACTGCATGCATGGTTTCATGAGCACGCAGAAATGTTGCTCAAGAAGCGCTGACGAGCATGGGATGATTACGTCATGCAAAGGCAACGCCACTTCAACACGTACTACTAACGCAGGCTTATATGTACATTTTTATGAAGTAATATCTTTTACTCTGAAGAAGCAAACAATCTTTCAATACCAGCAATAAAATATTGAGCATGTATACTAGTCTACGATCACGTGACAGGGTACATCGAATAATAGTTTACGACTCCAGGTGACGCCACAGGCCATTTCTCACAATTTTCAATGAATAAATAAATATCTAACTCCACTTCTCACGAGAAAAACAAGGTTGCTCTGAGTCACTATGAGGGACAATCTTTCCATTCGTGCAGTCATCTCGTTTCATGTTTTGGACAGTTGTCAGTTCATTTAAAAATTGCCAGGTCTGCACTGAACGAGCAGCCGAGTTGCAGCGAAAGCTAGAAGAGTGGCTTTTCAGAGCCTTTTCTAAACACTCTTTGGGTAACTGCTGCGAGTACGCTTGCTGGGTACCCACTAGGCCATAATCATAATGTTTGTGTAGATGGCCAGCATTCTCTATGCTATCTTTCGTCATTCTTCGGAGAATTGTAGTATCCGCTACTCACTTGCTAGAAATCTTGTGTAATTTTTTAATTCAGTGGCTGACGACATCAAAAAATTATGCCTGAAGGGGGTATGCACCACAGTTAATAGGTGATCAAGAACAAGTTTTCTAATGGGTTGGAACTCGCTCGTTACCCAGTTTGCATGGAGCAGTGCCTGGTTGTTTTTTAATGTTTTAAAACACTTAATTACTCATATTATTGTGATTACTTCCCGACATCAAGCCTACCTAAGGCCAGTTTAGAAATGAGTTCTAAGCACTGGCGTGGCTCAGTGGTAGTATACTGGGCTGGCATGCAGCGGACCCGGGTTCGAATCCTATTGTGTCCTTCCTGTCTTTTATCTAGTTTTTTTTTTCTTCTTGCGATACTGGTTACGGACACTAGCAGCAGAGAACTACGGCGCCGCACGTTACCGGTGTTTTGATCTCAACAGCCTTTGCTGTAAAACTACAGCCTGTCATGAGTACGGATCCAGAGGGAGGGTGATCGCTCCCCCCACCCCCAAAAACCTGTGTGAGCACCAGTCTCCCCCCCCCCCCCCTTTAAGAGTGCTTGTCCACCTCTTACCACCAATTAGAATAAACGAGTGGGACCATTTTGAGCACACATAACTCTTATTAATGCTTGACGGCTTCTTCCTGCTACTAAAAACAAAAATGTTAGGACCCCCACCCCCTCCGGAGTTACTTCAGGCCGCTGCCCCCCCCCCCCAACATAAAATCCTCCTCTGCCTGCAACAGACCTAGGTCAAACCCCAAAGCCAGAATTGCGAGCACACCTGGATGTGGCCCCTCAGGGTAGAAGGGCGGGCCTTTCGTCACATAATTGTGCTCGGCTCGACTCACACCTGGCACACTTTGCTTGGCTTGCTTCCTCGCCGCGCTCGCTTCGCGTACCCGTCGAGCATAGTCGGGATCCGATCGCCGTTTACGGTTACTTTCTCGGGCCGCAGCACGCCTAGCTTCGAGGCAAACGGCCTCCTCTTCGGCTGTGCGAACTTTGCACGGCCGACCCGTTGCTTCCGAATGTCTGAACCGTACCCTGGTGGTGTTGCCTGAACACGGCCGAGCAAGCGCTGGCGCGCCCCTACAGAGAACATCTGGAGCTAGGACGTAGACATACATGGTTGCTAAGCGACAACTATGCCGACGTCACACCAGCTGCGCAGCATGGATAGGGTGGCTAGCATGAAAAGGTCTATTTGGCATGGAGGACAACTTTGCTGATAAACAACGGTGCGGATATCACTGTAGTTGCTGCACTCTGCCCGAACTCGATCTTGTTGGAGCATGGAGCACACCGATGACGACGTGACGGTGCTGTTTGTCGTTGATGCTACTGCGGCCTTGGTCAGGTTGTTGTACAACCACAGTGGGTCGCATACCTTGCAGATGTGCCCGAAGCTCCTATCCAGGAACTCGCGCTTGAACTGCGCTGCCTTCGCCGCCGACTCGCATTGCCGCGCCGCTTCGAGATTCGCTGCTCGTTGTTTACGTTTCGCTTCGGCTTCGCGTTGCCGCTACGAGATCTGCTACTCGACGTTGACGCTTCAATTCGGCTTCCCGAGCTCGGAGAACGGGGTCCGCTAGCCGCCGTTTCCTTTCGGCTTCGCGAGCCCGAAGTTCGGGATCGGCACGCCGCCGCTCCCGTTTCGCAGCCCGAGCCTTCTTCTCCGCGGCGCGCTGGCATTCATCGCGGCGTTGCGCAGGGGAGGTGCGCGGGCTCTTACACCGCTATACACCGCCGAACTACCGTCCCCAGCGGAGTGTGCAGCTGTCTCACCACCTGTCATGCGCAGAGGGGAGGGGACCTAGAGGGGAGGGGACCCCACGGGAGGGATGGACAAAGCCCCCACCTAAAAGTGCGGCAGCTTGGGCTAGTTGGTATGGCATGACGATAGTTATAGCGCGAGAACAAAACGACGACACAGAGACAAGTGTCTTTCATGTCTTTCTTGTCTCTGTGTCATTTTGTTCTCGCGCTATAACTATCGCCCCACCTAAAGCTGCTTGGAATCTAAATAGGCGCTGCGCAGTGCTCCCTACCGGTTGCCCTTCTAACCACCACCATCTAAAAAGTTCTTCCTTTAACTCACGTGCAACCTTGGATGTGGAACGCCGGCAGCAGGGCGGGCCTTTAGACCGGCCAATTGTCGCTGTTTTCGCCTCCGTGCCGCTTCTGCCTCGCGCCTTCGCTTTGCATACTCCGGGTCCAATCTTCGTTGTCGCTTCTCCGGGTCCAATCTTCGTTGTCGCTTCTTGATTCTTTCACTGGCCATGTAAACGGGATCTAATCGTCGTAGACGACAACGCTCACGGTCCGCTGCACGCCGAGCCTCGCGGTAGGCGGCTTCTTCTTCGGCCGTGCGCTTCTTCCTCGGTTTACCCATGGCCAGCGTTGTAGGCAAACACGGCTCGCTCGGCGCCAGGTGTTCCATGGCCAGGCCAGGCTCCGCGACTAATCCACACAACACCTACCACTTATCTCCGTCACGGACAGCAGGAAAGAAATCACTACTGCATGACAACAGCTTCGGTGCTGCCCTACTCTTCGTGGCTCGAGTTAGTTACTGTATAATGCTTTCAAGGTAGCATATACAGTACCTCTAGCTCGAGCGGGCGCGCTGCGCACTCTTTACATGTGCCCACAGAACACCTGCCACAGAACACCTGCTGCCTGCCTCTATGGTGGCTAGAAGGAAAGGTGCCACTGAGCCAGCACCATCCCGGCCGCGCCTTGAAAGGAGACGTGCTGATATTTCATTCGGCCGTGGAGCGGCGCGCAAGTCGCCACCATGATCAGTCTGAGAGCGCTTGTCAGCCGCTAGTGCGGCACTTTTAGTCGCTTGCTCGTGTGCTCGCAAGCTGCAAAGTCTGCGCTTTCCCTATTTGGACTTGTTCGGGATCAATACGTGCCAATGTGACCATGCAACAGTGATGAGTAAGCAGCAAAGACACTTCTTTGCACCTGGATGCATTGCGGGATATGCTTCGGCCCGCAAACAAGGGAAGAAAGCGTCTCTCTTCTCTGCTCCAGCCGACGATGAACAGCGCAAGGCCTGAGAGCGTACGATTCCTCGCGCTGGCAAACCATTGGAAAAGAACTTCTTTGTGTGCGAAACTCATTTCGACGAAATATTCATCGTCCGTAGCCACAAGCATGTTATCAACGGCTTCTTAGCAACTTAATTGGGAAAAAGCTGTACCTAAGGAGGGTGGGTTCCTGAGTGAATCAAGTGCCGGAGGACTCCACGTCACTCTAACCAGCGCCCTTTTTATCCGGCACAATGTCATGAAAACATTGGGCTATAAATACTTGATGACGTCTTGCCTCTGCCAAGACGCACTTACAATCTTTTTTTGGAATTCTGAAGCAAATGTCTGGCTCGATTGATCACCCTTCGCCGACACAATTTTTGATATCTGTGAATTGCCTCAGTTTATACAGTTCGATACAGTCCCCCTCGAATGGAAACATACCTTTTGGAGTTCCGAGCAGCTTTCTATGTCCTGGCATCCACAGTGATTCAATAAAATTGCAGGATAACTGGATGAGCTGCGAGATTTGAGGCGCCTCAATGAGCTTCATGGAATTGTTATTGCTCGTGAACCTCTCCCTGACCCCACTGATCTAATTGGACGCAAAAGTGACTACCTGATCACTTATTACGTCAGTGGCTATGTGGCCCGGGAGGTGGTGAAATATACGAAGTTCAACGAATGTAGCATGTTGTTGCTTTACCCAGAATTCCAGCTTGCTACCGGCAAAATCATGACTTCTGTACCCGTCCGAGTCCCCAAGAGACCTTTTCAAAGCTAAGGAAGATGTATTCGCCTATTGCTTCAGTTTCAACAAGTTGAAAAGTGACAGCATAACAGACCTTATATCTTGCCTGTCTATGAAGAAGTTAAATATGGTCGGCTGTGAACACCACAAAGTGGAAGTGACAAATCAGATAATTATATTCTTTACACTGACCAGAATGCATTTTCTCCTTCCTGGAGAAAATGCCCCCAATAAAAAAAAGTGAAGTGTTAACTCAGCGAACAAGGTTTTTTTTATGTTATTGAGTATTACTCATGCTCTGTTGTTTCTTGTGATTTTACTATTGTATTGTTCGCATTGTTATAGATATCCCATTAACAACTGGGATGTCACTGTCTGGTTGTGCTTCACATATATAGAAATCAATTGTTTCGTGAACTGGTTTGTGACTGTACCTATGTTTGCCAATGAAATCTCAATGTGATGTGTGTATGTATGCCCATTGTATCATCGTGTATTTACTGTTCTCTTTAGTTGTCTCATTCACTTGCTTTAGCTGAGTTTCATATAACTTGCAGTTTTCTTCAACCATAATGCATATGTTGTGTTTATTTTCATGTTGTTTTTTGCTGTCGAGAAAATAAATGTCTTGCTTGTAAAATTAAATCTTGATTGCGCAAGTCATAAAAATAACGGCTGCCGATACCTTTACATGCATTGAAACCACGGAGAACACTGCGGCATCAAATTTTAAAACTGCACGGACTTTGTTTTGGTGTCAAGTTCACGGCAAGTTACTTGATTCTCTATCTTCTAAGCTTCGTAGCTGATATACTACGAAGTGAATTGAAAACACTAGTTTTCAGTGCCAATACGTGCTTTGCAGCGCGCCGTCAGAATTGTGACAGGTGGACTTTGTTATAATCCGCAGGGTAGCGTGAAATATTTGCAACGAAAAACGACTGATGCGCGGGCGCGAGAAGGGGCATCTCCACGCAGGAATTCCTCCGTGGGCATCTCGAAAGCGACCGCAGCGCCACCGCATCAGGATGAATTCTCGCTCGCTCTCCGGCGCGCCGATTGCTGACACCTCTCCTTCTAGACGCTCGCGGCTAGTGTTGCCAAATGTCCAAAAGCAAAAGTCGCTAAATAAGTGTGTAAAAGTAGCTAAATATATTTTTTCACCATTTTGAAAACAATTTTGAGCATGTTCTCCTCATGCAACAAATTTATTGGTGGCCTTGTCATCTCAAAGATTAGAGACAGCTGTCCCATTACGTTTTCTTGCAGGCAGAACATGATTTAGCAACAAAACAATGTACGCTTGTTTTAACCCCTATAATGTTTGCAGACTTTTTAACGCGCTCGCAAATTACGAGCTGCGAATGTATGTAATATTGTAACGCGGACTGAAAGAGCGAGAAAGAAGAAGAGGGAGGACGCTCTTGAGCGATGGTGATTCGGCAGGGACGGTTGAGCGCTGGCATTTTCAGTGTAAATAAACCCATCACATACTGTAATTTTTAGCGAATTCGGCAGCCGCAAAAAAAAAAAAACTGAGGGAACAAAAAATTTTCTCGGCGAGCGGAGTTCTTCATTGGGATGGGCAAATAGCCAGAAGCTTAGCACACCAAGTTGAAAAAAAACTTCGTTGCGACTTTGTCGTCAAAATGCGAAAGAAACACGTTGAAATCCGTGACGTCATCATCGGAGATAACAGCGGGAAATTTAAAAGGAGGTCTTTTGACCGATATTTATGTCTATTAACCTTGGGCGATGGTATTACAGTGGAATTTTCAGGTTCTAAGGTATCTGCTAAACTAATTTATGTTGTTGATATTTAGTGTCATTTTAACTTAACCTTTCATGCTATCATGCTTAACATGCTATCAGATGTTTTAACATACATCAACGAAATTGCGTGGTTGAAAATCGGGAAACATATAGACACCTGACACACATAACGTACATTAGAGATTTTAGCTTACCTCTGAATGTACAATGAATTGCATTGGCGAATAAAACATCATGGCCTATATTTGTATACAGGAAGCCATATATCATACGGTAAATAGTAATGATGAAAGCCTGCCTGCCAGCTTGAGAAGTGAAAAACGAAATTCGCAGTACAAGTGTAAAGCCATGTCAGTGGTGCACAGAACTCCAGGATTAAATCTGCAAGTTGCAAGGCATCTTCTGCCGCTGCATAGGATGCCATCGTGCCGATTTTCGCAGCCACGTCATCTAGCAGGTTATATTCGTGGCACTTTTTTTTTTGTATCTCCGAAGGCCGTACAGCATTTTCAGTTACGCATTCAAAGTGTGCAGCCTGTAGCGACACCTGCACTTCACAATGCTCATGTCGCTCACCGTTCAATGCCGGCATTCGAGAAGGGCAGCGACAGCACTGTCATGGCGAGTTCAGTGAAAGGGTTCTCGCCGTGCGCATCCTTGTAAGAACTTACTTCCTGCCAAAAACTATCGGTTCTGTTTGTACACTGCAGCACCATTTTACGTGCCGCAAGTTTTTCCACTGCGTTTCGCGATCGGACAGGGCTTCCACAAAGAGGAACTACGATGCCGATTCCGTAATTAGCTCTTGTATTAGCTTCAGTGCGTGCTCTACAGAAAGGAGAGAAGTCTTTTGCAAGAACTGAATGTTTTCGGGAAGCCGTTAACGCAGCTGCTTGCATAGTTCCACGATGAAACGTCGACAGCGAAGGCGTAGCTCTTTTTCGTCGTCACTTGGAAAGGATGCGTCTCGGAGTGCGGTTTCAAACCAATGACCAAAGTACGAATTAGGGTCAAGATGCTCGTTGATATTGACTGTTAACATGTCGTATCGGGAAGCTGGTAGGGATACTTTGTTGGCTGTTGACTTCACAAGAATCATCAGATCTTCGAACAATTTCATCGGGTCTTGGTACTCCGCTTGATATGATTTGTTGACACGCTGCACTTCAGCTAAAAACCCAGTCCAGCAGGAGTACGTAGCATTTGTTCTTGGGGTCACTGTACACTTAACAGAGCATCATTGCCGTGTAGGAATTTTTTGTTTTTCTGTGCATTTCCAAAAACTTCCTTCAGTTCGGTCCATTAGGCAAGTGTTCTTAACTGCCGCATGTATTGACAGCCAGCGCGTCTCACAGGCTAGCGGTATGGTAAGCAAAGCCTCTCCGTCGTTTAGTTCACGGTATAAGCTTTGGTACTCCAGTTTCCTTGTTGAGGGGTGAGCAAACCAACGGTATGACTACCTCGCCAGAAATTCTATGTTTCTCGGCAAGGCAACCGACGCACGTGAAACAGCAAGTTGAAGGGAATGACAAACGCATCGCACCATAATAACATGAGCAATTTCATTTCTCAGACGTGTGTAGACGCCACTATTCACACCAGTCATGAAGTTCGCATTGTCTACTCCTATGCCAACAAGGCTTTTTGGGTTCAGACCCTTGGACCGCAATCCTTCTAAAAGCACTGAAGTGATGCTTTCAGCGTCGCACTTTTTGAGTTCTTGTAGGGTAAGGAAAGTTGAAATAACCTCAGCGTTTCACAGAGAAAAATGCCTAATGGTGAAGCCAAGGAGCTTCAGGACACTAATATCGGTCGACTCGTCGATCAGAACGCTGTACTTTTGGTGGCCAATATTGTCCCACAACGATTTTTCGAAGTGCGGTCCAAGGACGTTCCTTGTTATATTAGTGCACTTTGTGCGGTGAATCTTGAGCTAAGAGGCAACCTGGCTATCTTGAAAAATTCGCTGGCAAGCTTCTCCGATGTGATCGATGGTGTTCATGTCACAGTGCTCAGCGACAAAAAGTGGAAGGGTTGCTTCTGCCTGCTGTACTGGGCTAGCCATTACACATGGCATGGCATCGGATGTAGTGCACTGATGTAGTCTCTTGCTTGGCACACATGCCACGTGTTTT